AAAGCTACTTTGAAATCGACTAGCGAAGAATTTCAGCAAACACAAAAGAACCTTGAAACCCTGGAAAAGGAACACAAACGAGTCATTCACGAAATCGGCGAGCTGAAAAAACGAGAGTCCGAGCTAATCAAAGAGAGGGACGAAGCGAAGGAATCGGCGAGGAAAGCGTTGGAGAGTCTATCGGAGTTTGAAAACAAACAGTACGTGAAACCGTCAGCGGCGGCGACGAGAGTGAAGCCTGAAAAATTCTCGGGAAGCGGCAGCGACACCGATTTTCAGGCGTTCTTGGACCAGTTTGAGGCTTGTGCGAGAATGAACGGCTAGAAAGAAGAGGAAAAAGCAAATCAACTGATCCTTTGCATGAAAGAAAAAGCTCGTGTGGTTATGTCTCAACTCTCGGCGAGTGACAAGAGCTCCTACACATGTATGGTAGAGGCTCTTCGCAAGAAAATCGGCATGCGTCAGGTTCCCGAAGCCGCTAAAGCTACGCTCAAAGCGCGACGAAGAAAGGTGGGAGAAAGTTTGTTAGATTTAAGTATTGATATTAAACGCTTGTGCGGGGAGGCTTACCCGACTTTGAGCTCGGCTAGTTTGGAGCAAGCTTGTGTAGATCATTTCACTGATGCAATTGGGGCGACACTTGCAAAGGACGTAATTCGCTCTAAACCCTCGACCCTAGATAAAGCCCTGTCAGAAGCTCTAGAACTCGAAGCATTAGAACTCAGAGCAGTGAGAATGAGAGAAAGGGTTGTGAGTGAGGTGTCAACCCACGAGAAAGAAGCATGCCAAGTGCAAAATCCACCTCTACCAGGTTGGGCCCCAGAGCTTTCGACTATGATTGCGTCAGCCACCGCAAAGGCAGCAGCCGAAGCAGTGGTTAATGCTATCCCTTCAAGCGGTACTCGACGAAACTACGTTCCCCCTCAGTTTGGACTCGCTAATAGCAGGGGCAGGGGGTGTCGGACATGTGGGTCAGTGTATCATTTCCAGAGAGACTGCCCGCAGAGAAACTTCCGCAGGGCGGGGGACAGGTCATAAAGCCGAGTCGCTCCCCACCCGAAGACCAAGTACCAGTGATACGCATTAGTTCCATTCAGTATAACGTGTTGTTACTTGACTGCAAGATAAAAAGGGTCCCTGTGACTACCGTAGTGGACTGTGGTAGCCCAATCTGTATTTTGAGTGTCAAAGTTTTTAAGTGCATTGCTTTTAACGGGGCCCTAGGGAAGGTCGGATCCAAGGTCGTGGGCGCCGAGGGCTCCCAGCTAAACATCTTGGGAACAGTGGAACTAGACATGGCCTTCAAAGGGATCAGAGCTAAACAGCTATTCTATATTTGTGACAACCTCAAGCAGAGTGCCCTTCTTGGGGTAGACTTTTTAAGGGACAATGGGTGTGTTGTCTACTTTAACAAGGGAACCCTTCGGGCTGGAAACACAAATGTGTACTTGAGAGATGAATCAAGTTGGCAGGTGCACAGAGTCTCCCTGGTAGAAACTGTTACCATTCAGCCAGACCAAAAAGTTGATCTCATTTGCCAGGTCAATGGGGCAAATTTAGAGGGAATTCAGGGAGTCCCTGAACCCATGGATAAATTCTTTGAGAGGTTTCCAACTGCAGTGCCCAATACTCTATCCTTGGTCAATGAAACGTCGGTTCCAGTCCGTTTCTACAACTATTCTGGGCAGCCGGTTACAATGTACAAGGCCACAAGTGTGGGGGAGTTCTGTCCAGCCCTAGAGGGTGGCCAAGCAATACCGACATCGCGAAACTATAGGGTTGAGTCCGCCACCGATGATAGCTATGTAAGAACAGTGAATTGCAATGCACTGTCGGTCGAATCGGAGCCGAGTTGGGATATAGTTGACGAGATGAGGCAGCTATTCCCTATAGATAATGATCAGATAACGGACGATCAAAAGCTGAGCGTGTGGAAAATCATGGCCAAGCACTCTAACGCAGTATCCAGGGGACCACACGATATTGGCCACTGCACTAAGGCACAGCTTAGAATTAACACTGGGACTGCACCCCCTTCAAGACTTCCACTGCGCCGCTTTTCTCCTCAGCAGCAGAAGTACATAAGAGAGGAGACACAAAGGTTACTTGAGAGAGATGTAATAGAACCGTCAACCAGTCCTTGGAGCGCTCAGGTCGTCTTAGCTTCTAAGAAGGATGGCTCTTACCGTTACTGTGTTGATTTCCGTAAGCTAAATAGTGTCACTGTTAAGGAACACTACCCTATTCCAAGGGTGGAGGGCATTATCGATACTCTTGCTGGAGCAAAATTTTTCTCAACCCTGAACTTTGTCTCTGCCTACCATGCGTTCGAAATTCGCACTGATGACCAGGAGAAAACAGCTTTCTCTACAAAGCAGGGGCACTGGCAATGGAAACGTGTTCCCTTTGGGCTTTGTAACGCAGCTCCTTTCTTTGTGCGGCAGATTGCCTGTCTTTGCGGGAATGACATGGGAAGAACTATTGGCATTCTTCGATGACGTCCTCATCTTTGGTGCCACGTTTGCCAAGCACTGTGAGTCCTTGGACCGTGCTCTCTCCCTTGTAGAGGAGGCTGGATTGAAGGTGAAGCCAGAGAAATGCTGTCTGCTACCACAACGCGTACCTTTTGTTGGACATATCCTGTCAGCGGAGGGAGTTTCCACAGATCCCGAAAAGGTTTCCGCAGTGAAATCCTGGCCACCACCAACCAATGTGTCTGATTTACTTGTTTTTCTGGGAAAGATCGGCTACTACAGGACGTTTATTCCGGATTTCGCAACTGTCGCAAGCCCTCTTTTCCTTCTTGAGGAAAAGGGAAGAAACTTTGTGTGGTCCAACGACTGTCAAAGATCTTTCGACGCCCTAAAGCAAGCCCTTTGTGAAGCACCGGTTCTCGCATACCCAAGGTTTGATCTCCCATTTATACTAGATACTGACGCTAGCACGACCGGTGTCGCTGCTGTGTTGTCTCAGGTGCAAGATGGCGAGGAGCGCCCGATTACATACGCTGCCAAGGCCTTGACAAAATCGCAGAGAAAGTGGCCGCCAACCAAGATTGAGATGTATGCGCTAGTATTCGGGACAAAAACATTCTACCCGTATCTGGTCAACAAACAGTTTGTTGCTCGTCTGGATCACCGCTCGTTAGTGTGGCTTCAGAACTTTAAAGATCCTAAACCTCAGGAAGCCCGATGGATTCAGCACCTTCAACAGTACGACATGAAGATAGAACATGGGCCAGGTCATCTGCATGGCAATGCCGATGGCCTGTCCCGTCGACCTTGGCCAGAAAACCCCGCGTCTGACACTTGGTGAAGCACAGAATTTTTGTGAACCATTGGTTGTTGGAGCGACTACCAATGACGGTTCAAGAACTTTCGTCGAGGATGGAAACGAGTCGGAACCCAGACCGCCGCACCCACCGTGGTCCAGTTCTCACCTTAGGGCAGAGCAGTCAAAGGATAAGCATTTGAATGCAGTGCTACAGTGGCTTAGGGCAGGAAGGAGACCACCTAAAGAAGAAATGAGCGGGGCAGATCGGCATATGTGGGCTTTATGGGGTCAATACGATAGGTTGCTTTTGCAGAATGAGGTGTTGCACCGGCGATGGTTTGATGAAAAGACTGGACATGAAAGTCTGCAGGTGTGTGTCCCAGAGCAGTTAAAGGGTGCTGTGTTGCAGGAGTTACATGACCAGTGTGGACACTTGCCAGTGCGCAAGACTACAGACAATGTGCGGAAACGCTTTTACTGGATTGGCTACACTGCGGATATTGAACTGTACTGTCGTACTTGTCACACTTGCGGCTCCAGAAATGGACCAATACCACGGGTGAGAGCGCCCATGCAATCTATTAAGACGGGCTACCCACTAGAGAGGATTCAGATTGACATTCTCGGCCCCCTTCCAGAGACCAACAAAGGAAACAAGTATGTTGCTGTTGTGGTGGACATGTATACAAAGTGGCCCGAAGCGTATGCCTTACCTGATCAAGAGGCTAACACGGTCGCCCAGACTGTCATGGACAACTTCGTATGCCGCTTCGGTTGCCCTCGTGGGATACTCAGCGACCAGGGCCGCAATTTTGAGTCCGTCAAACAAAGGACAACGCCATACCACCCTCAGTGTGATGGGGGTGCGGAACGACTTATCCGTACGGTTACCGGTGTTATTGCCAAGATTGCGGAGGAGCAAGAGGAATGGGATCAGTATCTTCCTAAGGTCCTCCTGGCTTTGCGTGCATCCACCCATGAGACGACTGGCTTCTCCCCCAGTATGCTCATGTTCGGCAGGGAACTGAGATTACCTATTGACGCAATGAGGGAGGGGCCGCCTTCAAAACAACCGCCTGATTACCCCTCTTTCGTCAAGAGACAGCAAGAAATTCTTAAGGGAGTGTATGGACAAGTAGGGGAAAATCTGCGAGTCAACCTTCGTCACCAGAAAGATGTCTATGACGCGCGCTGCAAGGGAAACGCAAAGCCGTACCAAGTGGGTGATCTGGTGTGGTTAGAGGAAAAGGCCGTTCCGAGGTGGGTACACCGGAAATTCTATCGCCCCTGGTCCGGACCGTAGCGAGTAGTGAAGGTCATATCTGACGTCACCTACAGGATACAGTGCGAGGAGGCCACACCCTCACGGGGAAGACGGAAAACCCCCTCAGCTTCAGCCGACATTGTATGACGTCGAGAGAGACGCTGGCCAACCTACGGATCTGAATGTTGGAGAGCGTGCTGTGTTGGAGTTACCGTGGGCTCGCACTGCAGATGCCCTGCCTGGGGGTCCCGCTCCGATTGAGAATGCCGCAGCTGTCAACCGTGAACCGGACCTCCGGCCGAGACGTTCAGCCAGGGTCCGCCGTGTCCCTGCCTGGATGGGAGACTTTCTTTTAGGGAAGGACATTGATAACGCCCTTTCTCCACTAGGGAGGGGGGGTGTTTAACGTTGCTAAGAGACTAGTCTAGCCTCACCCCAGGACTTCGGGGCGGTAATCACGTGCGGATCGTTGAGAGAGTGTAGACGGCCATTTTTGCTGTGCAGTTGTTGTAGTTGTTTCGAGACGTTATTAAAGAAGAGTTTAATCACTGTTACAGTATCACCAGCAAATAAAATTAAGGATAATATCTCAGAGCTTTTACATATATCATTGACGTATATTAAAAACAGTAGAACAGAGCCTTGTGGCACACCACCCTTAATTGTTAAGTAATCTGAACTGGTTAATTTGAATTTAACAACTGATTTTCTTCCGGATAAGTAGTTTCAATTCTAAACCAGTCTAGGGCTATTCCTCTAAATCCATAATGCTCTAGCTTATATAGCACTATATTGTGATCTACCGTGTCAGAGAGGTCTAGGAAAACCCCCATTGTATATTCACTACTGTCCACTACCTTACATATCTTTGAAACAAGCTCAAGAATTGCAAAACTTGTTAAACGTTTGTTTACTGAATCCGTATTGACTGTCGGTTAAGATTTCGGAAATTTAGAACTTGCTTGTACATTAATTTTTATAGGTCTACAATTTGAGAAACGTTCTAATTTAATTTCATCAGGTATAATACCAGTGAGAAAAGACTGGTTATATATGTGTGAAAGTGGTTTTGATTATATGTGATATCGCTTTTTCAACCTTTGGAGACATTTCATCATAACCGCAGGATTTGTCGATTTTCAGTTGTTTCGGCTATATTTCTATTTCTCTTTCAGTTACTGGATCTAAGAAATAGAGTCAGCATTATTTTTTTCTAAGTATGATTCAAAGTTGATGATATTTTCCGGTATTTTCTCTGCTAGTTTAGGTCCTATGTTTGCCAAATATTTATTAAGCCGTTCAGCTATTTCCTTATGATCTGTAACCTCTAAATTATATAGATTTAGCCAGGGCTAAAAGCAAAGCTCCCACTAATAAATTTATGATTTAAATCAAACAATAAACTTGTAATCCACAAATCAGTTAACTTAAGGGCACATTCATGCGATGTTCGGGGATGTTCGGTCGGTGTACGGTCACGTGATAACCATATTTTCTGGGATGGGTTGATTTACTTACCCACGGTGCCCCGCTGGCACGCGCAAAGCGCGTGCGAGAGCTCCGCTATCATTCTCCTTAAGGTGGCTGAACACAGTTTTGCGGGCGGTCAGCGCTAACTTGAGTGACAGCGAGTGTTTTAAATTAGACAAACCAATATGGCGGGCGAAAAAGCTATGGTGCACAAAAGACGATTTCTCAAAATCTATTCATTAAAATTTTGAAATATTTGGCAGAATTTTTACTTTTATCGTAATCTGAATAATGAGAATTTTAAAATGGAAGTCAAACAGACGAATTTTGTGACACATTTAATAATAACAGTACAATGATATTATTGATTATTTAAAAACCCGTCTGTTAAAATTTGGTCAAATAAGTTTCAAATGGTAATGCTTTTTCTAGTCTGTCACAGTAATACTTTTTCTTTGCAGCTTTTTTCGTTTTATTGAACTTATTTCGAATCCTCTTGTAAGTCACCACATTCATTTCGCTAGGATTTTTAACAAACTTTTTGTGCATTGTTTCCTTGATTTTCCTTGCAGTTAAAATGTCTTTAGTGATCCACGATGTCTTTGATTTCTTAACACTTTTATTGCTCTGTTTAATTATTGGTACACTTTTATTAAATGCTTCTGACAGTTTATCAAAAAATAAACTGTAAGCAGTTTGAGGATTGGTCTCTAATTAATGAATGTCGTCCCAACCTTCATGATTTAAAACATTTAGAGTTTGCTCGTTGATCTGTGTACATTGCTTTTTCTAATCTTTGTTAATATCTCTAGTTTTATATCTGTGTTTCTTCTGGATTTGAAAGCTCTATAGAAACAATTTCACCCTGTGAATGTCAACTTTCCAAGTTTTAGTAAGGTAATTAAACGCGAGAGCTAATACGTGAAAACAGGTGAGCTCTCAAGTTCAAAATCAACGAACCTTGAAACACTGAAACACACAAAACGGATCGAAATCCACCAATCACAAATCCCAAACCATGACCTTTTGGACCCATTGAAGTAAACGTCTGTTTCCTAAGAAGTCCGGCCAAGAAAGTGCCAAGCTTTCAGATTTTCATTGACGTCCCAGAAACCCAAAATCGAAGACGTTTTTGACTTCGCAGGTCGCGTGTTATCCGAAACAAGTGTAAGTGTTTTAATTTCAGGGTCTACTTGAATCACCTGTTATGCATACGAAACGCTGGATGCTACATGCAATTTGCCAAAAGAGAAGGAAACTTGGTTGAGTTAACTTTCGCAAAGACTTCTGGGACTGTTACTTGAGACAGGAAAAAATTGTCCAACAGCTGACCGCTGCGTCCCAGTAACCATCCCTGAAACAATAGCGGGACACATTTCGTTCCAGTCCCCTTCTCGATTCTAAAGTGGCGAATATGCCTCATCTATTCCAGTCACTTACCAACTTGTATTTCCATAGAAAACGCCATTCCCTAAATCATAGAAACAGTGTGCAGTGGTCAAAACCCAGAGAGGAGAGATAAGAGCACCACCACAGAGAAACGTAGGCCCTGGGTAAAGACAAAGAAATATAATTATTCTTGACACTGTTATATCTAGAAATTAGCGACAGATTTTCACGAAAAATTTTCGATCAGACAAATTTTATTTGAATAATAAGATTCAGTAATTTTTTCTGAAGTCTGCAGTACTGTTTCTTATAGTAATGGAGCCAGTATTAAATTGGCTTCTGCTAAAAAGCTATTGGGTCAAAAGTGTCCTCAGTTTAGGTCTGTAGCTCGAAATAGTCATCATCTGACTACCAGCCAAAACAGGATTTAAGGTCACACCTGGGAATCGAGGACAGGTTGAACTCTTGCACAGAAGGGCCGGCCACGCACTAACCAACCGTGCTGATAGTAATTGGTCTACGGGCAGGGCCTTGGTTTCCAATTTTGTAGGCAGTTCTTTTTGTTCAGAAAAAGGGGCATGATTTCTGCTTCGTAAGGATTAAAAATTTCCTACTCATGATTAGATTCGTGCGTCACACTTCTTGTAATTTATGAGATTTTCACCCATCCGCGTTTGCCAAAGGAATCGCGCAGTTTCTTTTCTTGAATGTACTTTTCTAAACTTCCTTAAATTGCTTCCTGCGAGAGAACTCAAACGGCAGGGGAAACGCAGTGTATAATGACATTTACAAAGCAGTTTTCTCAACTCTTTCTTATGGTTACCCATTTAAACTTGCCCTATTTGAGATATATGAAATATAAATTGTTTTCTTTACCGCTCTCGCGAATAGCGTAGATTGCAATCTGCCAGGGCCAGCTTTCTCTTGCTGAAATTCTTCCACCTACCATCTTGAACCTTGAGAACTTTGAGAATTCGGAAACTGATTTGCGACCACAGTTGCTTCTCCCTGCCGATGAATAAATAAACTGCTAAATAAATAAATAACAACATGAGGCTAAAATCTTTTTTATAATTAAATTATTTTCAGCACGGAGTTCTCCTTCTTTAAACGTGTAGGTAAACGCGTGAGAAATTACAGTGTTTGTATGAGAATCTAATGTCGAATAATTTCCGTAGAACCTATGTTCTGAAAAAAAAAAAAAAAAATGAATTGTAAACTAAAGCTTTACTCCTAAGGATTCTACTGTAAAAATTTGAGGGCGTCATATATTACATGCGCTGGAAGACCTAGAACCACTTTTTTAAATTTTCTATACATTTGTCTGTAAGAAGGTCCTGGGAAAAATTAGACAAATATATGGAAAATCTAAAGCAAGCTCTGGAGAAATTTAAGCACAGGTACGCCCCAATATTTTTAGTACAATCCTTTGTTTTGTAGCTTTAGTTTACAAGTCATAATTTTTTTTTCAGAAAACCCGTTTTACGGAAATTATTCGACTTTAGATTCTCATACGAACACTGTCATTTCTCACACGTTTGCCTACTCGTCAAGATGGAGTCGAGAACCATGACAAGTTCAATTAGGTATCCATAAACTTTTTTTAAACTTCTTGCTGTTCCCAGTGAACAAGCTTTCTGTAACGTCTTTACAACAAGTGAAATCTTTTGCTAACTGTTCCGAGAGCGCCAATGACGATGGGTATAAGCACAACTTCTATACCGTTCCACAGACGCTTCACCTCTCTTTCCAGAAGTCTTGATATATTCTTCGTCGATTTTTTTTAAACATGCATGCTCTTATTATTATCATCATCTTTATCATCGTTATCATTATTATTAATATTATTATTAGTAATATTACTTTGTTGTTTGTTGTTGTTGTTGTTTATTAATCACATATTAATGGTTCATTTCAATGTAAGGAGTCTTACGAACAAATTTGATGATCTTATACATTACTTAAACTCGTTGTCCTTTTCATTTTCTTTAACAGCACTAACAGAGACATGGCTTAATGAAAGTCATATCAATGACGAAATTCAAATACCAGGCTATCGCAATATCATAGTAAATAGAAAACATAAAAAAGGTGGAGGCGTTAGCCTTTATATAAAAGATGATTTTGACTACAAAATAAGAAATGATTCTTTTATTAGGAATTGTAGTGAAGATATTGGAAACATTTTTATAGAAATACATGTAACAACTAACCAAGGCAAAAATATAATAGTGGGAGTAATCTATAGGCCACCCAGCAAATAAACTTGAGGTTTTTGTGATTATATAAAAAATGTATTATCCAAGGTCGACAAAGAGTCAAAGATTAGTTATATTATGGGTGATTTTATTATAATTTAGACCTTCTAAAATATGAAAATTGTAAATAATTGTTCAAATCAATTTTTAAATCATATGATGTCCTCATTGTTCTTACCTATGATTGATACACCTACACGAATTACCAAAAGCACTGCAACACTTATAGGACAATATATTTACCAATGATAGCTAGCTGCAGGTCAGCCGGATTGACTGTAAATACTTTGTTATATATAATAAATATACTTGAAATTTGAATCTTGAAACAATGATAACAAAGGCACACATCTGAACGGAATACTCCTTAACGATTTATCTGAGCACTTACCTGTATTGTGTTCTCAATTCACTAAGATGAAGATTTATGAGCCTAGTGGCAAAAATGAATGCTATTTCACTAGGAGGATCAATAATGAATCTATTACTTCATTTAAAAGAGAGCTAGAAAAAACAAACTGGCTAGAGGTAATCAATTCAAGTGATTGTGAAGAATCTTACAAATTATTCATGAAAACCTTTCAAGAGGTATATAATAACTCATTCCCATTAAAAAAGCTAACAGTGAAAAGAAAGGAGAATGAAAGCAAATCCTTGGATTAGCAAGGGTATTTTCAAGTCATCTAAGCATGAATTTAAACTTTACGAAAACTTTATTAAAAATCCGAGTAAAGAAAATGAGGAAAAATATAAAACCAACAGAAACAAGCCGATAATCATCTGGTAAGAAGGCGAAGAAGAACTTTTACAATAAGAAATTAAATTTAATGATTCTAAGAGTGATCGAAAGCAAACGTGCAAACATTGAATGAAATTTTAAGCAGGCATAAATACAAAACAGCTTTACCTCAAAATTTTGTAAATAATGGTAAAGTAATCAGTAACCCTTCTTAAATTGCTAATCAATTTAATGAGTATTTTATCAATGTTGGACCGAGTCTTGCCAAAAAATTTAACGAAAGCTTAGCAAATTTCATGAACCATTTAAGAGGTACCTATATGAATTCAATAATTCTAAATGAAATCACAATTAATGTGGTTGCAAAGGAAATAAGAAAGTTGAATCCAAAAAAGGGTTTTGGCGTTGACGGGTTGAGTCCAATGGTGTTTCAATGTATTGCAAATTATATAAGTGAGCCGTTAACCCACATATTCAATTTAAGTTTTAGTACCGGGAAGATGCCTCATGAACTAAAAGTCTCACTAGTAATACCGCTCTACAAAGCTACAAAAAGGTTGACCATATTCTATGAGTATGGGGCTCTGTTAAAAACCCCCGAGTAAAAAACCTGCCAAGTTAGTTACCCAAGTTAGCCTAAACAGGTTCTTAAATAAATGGCAATTTGGTCAAATGCAGGCTATTTAGCTTCTTAAATAGCTTATTAGTTTCCGGAAAACAAAAAAAAATGTTTATATAAAAATATTAATCATTGCATAAAATCTGCATACCATTGCAGTTGGAGTGATAAGGCACTTATGTCTCTAAAAAGGATCCTGAATGTTGATTAATATCTCATTTGCCTTAGTGTAAACAGTTATTTTTTTTGTATAGATTTAAAAACCGCTAATAGTAGTTTGCCGTATAATTTTAGCGATATTTACATTTTGAATAGCCAACTTCATTCTTATGCTACAGAACGAAGCAATAATATACATAAGCAGTTTTACAGAACAAACTACGGCTATTATTCAAAACACTGAAAAGGGACCAAGTTCTGGAACTCTATACCAGAGAGAACACAAAATCACAATATAGCATAAAAAGAAATTAAAAAAATATCTTTTGTCACAACAGTGTTTTAGGCAATTCTTAGTAGTGTGCAAGTTAAATTGAAGTTAATTTATAGTTAGAATTATGGTTAGATTACGCTTTACGCCGCACATGGTGTCCAGACCCTATAAGAAAAAAAACAAAGTAAATAATAGGGGAACCTTGTAAAAGTCCGTCAGGGTTTCCTAGTTTCCCATATTGGTGTAGTTATATTTCTGACTGGATTTGTTATAACGTGGCTAAAGAAATTTCAAGTACATTTAAGCTATTTGACATCTAAGTGGAATGGGAAGCAGTTAAAAGTCACTAGCTGAAGCTAAAAAATGACAGCATTATTGCTGGCAATAGACGGTAAAGTTCTCTTGCAGAAGTAACAGGATTTTGCGATGAAATAAACATTTGAAACGTCCAGAAATTGTAATCTTTTAGTCAGTCAAACCGTGAGGCCCACAGCTCGGTGTCGGTCGAAAAAAGATTAAGAATCCACAATCTTTGAGCAAAGAATAGGCTTTCTAAGACAAAATCACCTAAACTAAACACTCACGAAGCGTTTTTATGCTTGGCACAAAGTATTCTAGTCAACCGCACATACCTGAGATTTGTCTGTCAACACTTCCGGTAAATCACACAATAAGTGACTTTCGCGGCAATTACAACCCTTCCCTAAACCACTCATAATATTTCCACACTTAACACGGGCGAAATGTCGTCAAATTACTACGTAAAACTCTCGCTTTCTCCACATAAATCGTCACATGGAACTTTTCTCGACCCACTGACAGTCGATTTATTCAAGACCCCGGATGTAAACAAGCGGTTGAAAAGGAGAAATACAGCCCCCGCCTTCAAAACAATTTTTTACTAAGTCTTTGGCCAGGTCAGAAATCAGCATGAATTTCCATCTCGCCGACTAGATTTCAACCCTAGAACCTACTTTGTGAGGCCAAAGACTTATTACTGCCAACAACAAAGCTCGCAATATCCAATCTTTCCGTCTCAAGCCCGGGATTAGTCTTTCACCCGTGTAGCCCGAAATGAGACGAAATACCAGAAGATATTGGACGCAGCAGACTGTGCCAGAGTTGAGAATTGTTCCTTCATAAGGCTTAATGATGCCTTCCGGAAAACTTCGCTCAAGGCAGCCAAAAAACCTCTAAGACAACCCACTATGACAGCCGAGTTCGGTCTAATACGCGCGCTGATTTCAAACTGACATACAGAGAGAATTATGGGAAGTTATGAAAAACTTTTTTTGGGGGTGGGGGGGGTAATAGGTGATAGCCAGTGAGAAACTCATCAAAGTCTATCTACTGTAGCCTATCCAGACAGATATCTGTTCAATATAATAAAGTTCATGTTGTTGTTGTTGTTTTGTTATTAGCCATTACTTTCCATTAAGTCATTCTTCAGTCAAGTTTTGACAGTTAAAATTTAAAAATAAAACATAGAATAGTAAGAATACGTTTCAATCGGCCTCTCTGGCCCTTAGCATAAGATTTGATTTCTGTCTACTTCACTTACTGACGTCTTCTCTAGTAAAACTTGAACACAGTGTGATGACAAATAACCACAACAGAATCTGGGGGGCAAACCAAATACACAATTATTTAAAAAGGTCCAAAAGGAAGAGGGATAATTAATACAATTAACTGGAATTTGATCCAGATAGAAAGCTAAACCCGACGGGGGGGGGGTACTCCTCGGAATTCTTGGTGGGGGTGTGCCGCACGGTTCTCCAATCCCGACCCTATTTCAGACCAAACAATGAAATTTTCCACACCCGTTTTCAGATCTGGCCTTTAGGCAGAAATTATGTTATTATTACTTAGATTCGAGTGCAAACAAAAAAATTCATCAAAT